TTAAGGTTTCGGGTTTAGGGGTTTCGGGTTTAGGGGTTTCGGGTTTAGGGTTTAGGGGTTTCGGGTTTAGGGTTTCGGTTTAGGGTTTCGGGTTTAGGGGTTTCGGGTTTAGGGGTTTCGTGTTTCGGGTTTGGGCTTGGAGAGGCTCCCTGACCGCACGCACCTTTCACTGGAGGACGGTGGTGGAGCCTGCGGTTTTGGGTTAGTTGCCGTTTGGGGACCTAGAACCCCCTCAACCCGAACCACACTCAAACCCCAAAATCACCTCCTAACTGGTGAAATTGTGCCTCTAAGCTCGAAGCTTGGAAGCAGAGCCTCTAAGCCATACCTTAAACCCAAAACCCTACCCCCTTGACATCTCAAAGTGTATGCCTCAAACCTTTGGCGTTCTCAGTTCTCAACCTGCAAATCTCACCTTGGGACCTTGCAACCACATGAGGGGTTTAGGGTTTCAGGGTTTCTGGGTTTAAGGGTTTAGGGGTTTAGGGTTTAGGGTTTAGGGTTTAGGGACTTAAAACCGCAGCCCTGAACCACAGGAATTCAAGGCACGCTACACCCCAAACGATTGCCTTATTCGTAGGGCTTATGTCCCGAGCCACAAACCTCAGCTCCACGTCATACAGTGTATCCTTAGCTTCTTGAATGCGGTATAAAGCTAAGACTCTTGGCAGGAGTATTTCGGGGCTTGTCCTGCTGGCCTCTTCAAACAAGCTGGCTCCTGGAATTTGTCTTGGAGTTCTAACGTATTTTCGGCTTTATCAGAATGCCATAATGGCTCCAGAAGGGGTTTATACGCACTTTATAAGGGTTGAGGGACCGGGGAGTCGAGGATTTTCGGGCTTTTGTGGTTTGGCATCTTGGGGTTGCGGGTTGGGGCTTTAGGTGTGTGTTACCAGGGTTTGGGACACCCTAAACCCTAACCAGTGCAACCTTGACACCATTCCTATAAGCCACAACCCTGATACAAAAATAGCCCTAGGATCCCGAACTCCGCCAAAATCATGGATGATTCCTTCAGCATTCTCCCGTAATTGTCCTGGTGTCACCAAACCCTAACCTAAATAGATCCTGAACCCTAAACCCCAAACCCTGCGCCCTTTTTGAGGTTTAGCGTTTTTTTTTACTCTCCATTCTGTCATGTTATATTATATTAGACTACATTACGCTATATGAGACCATATTGCATTCTATTATGTAGTGATCCTTCAAAAACCCTAAATCCTGAAACCTGAACCCTAAACCCTAAATCCTAAACCCTAAACCCTAAACCGTGATCCTGTGGATTAAGTGTATGCCTACTATAGGTGGGCTTCTTGCGGAGAAAAGGAGCCATTGCACTTTAAAAAAAAACCGTGATCCTGGTTTAGGGGTTCTCTCCACCAAGGCCTGAGAGCAACGGAGGAGAACCTCGAGCTCCTCCTGGGCGCCTTGCTTGGATAAGGCTATATGGGTGACTGTCAAAGTTGGGGTCCCTTCTTGGGTACCCTAAATAGTAGGTGCCGTATTATATTACGGACCCAAAACGGGACCATAATTTTGACAACCACCCATATGATCATGGTTTAACGCTACACCCTAAACCCCAAACCCTAAACCTTAAACCCTACAGTGGAAGCGGGAAAGAGGATGCACCCAACGAGGCGGTCGCGGCAAACGGGGAGGAGGAAGCAGGGGAGCCGAATGGCGAGGACATGTTCCTGGGTGCTGATGATGCTGCTCCCGGGGAGCAGCCGCAGGCTGCGTGGGACTGCGTGTGGGTCAGTGCGAGCAAGGAGGAGTAATGCTGCATTGGTGCAAGACAGCAACAGTACCACCACAACTCCGGGGAGTACTCGCGCTTGCTCCGCCGCGCGAAGGCCAGGCTCGCATGCTGGGAACATGCGCATGTGCGGGTTAGTCCCTAATTTCAAATGACTTGGGCAGGAGCACGCATCCAATGCTATGCTCCTCCTGGGGAAGTGGAGCGCTTCCAAGTGTGGTACCCTCGCAACCCCGGGGACGTGCACGCCGCTTGTTTGCGCTCTAAGCTGCGTCGCGCAAGGAGTGTCACTGCACAGGTATGCTAAGGAAAGCACAAACTCCCAAAGCAACACCGCCCTGGAGCATTGCCTGAGCTGGGCCTGGGCCAGGCATGCTAAATGGGTGGCACTAGGCCACGGTGCGTGAGGCACTGTTTTGGGGTAGCACCACCGCGATGCACAAGCAACAGAACTTCATGCACAGAAAGACAGACGGCTAGGGACAAACTGACTACGAGAAAACAGCGTCGGCAACAGTATTGCTTGCATAACAGCGCTGCCTGAGGGTGATGCGTAGCCTCGTGCAAACACGAAGCTGCGCGGGGAGCTCGGCAGGGGACAGGAAAACAGCCGCATCGCTTCCATTCGCACTCGCGCTGGTCCTTGCTAGCAAGCTGTGTCGCTGCAAAGCGTTCGTTTGGCCAACGGATCAATAGCACAATCTCCATGACATGCACGTTCAATACGTAAGCAAGCAAAAGCACAGGAGCAAGCACCAAACAAAATCATGAAACGAAGTCTCCATCTCTCGAAACAGCTGCTGGTCGCTAGCGCGTCGCGCAGGTCCAGCTTTCGTCGCATGGTTCAGGATAAGGTGTCCTTCCGACGAAAGAACCAGGCAAGGCAGCACAACTGAGCTTTCGGCATCTCGCACGAAAGCAGTAGTTCTTGTATGTACCAGCGTCGTGACAGGAGATACGTTCTCAGGTAACTGCTTGTACTGAATTCAGACTTCTTGTATGTGCCAGCGTCGTGACAGGAGATACGTTCTCAGGTAACTGCTTGTACTGCATTCAGACTTAGAACGTGGTGTCTGCTTTCCAAAAGCAAACTAACAGCAAAGCTTTTGCTCCCGAAAATAGTCGTTGTAGTGTGTTTTGTTTTCAAAAGCGTCGAAAATACACCAGAAGAGGACGCCTGCCCAGTTCAGACTGTGGAATTATTGTCAGGTTTGAATGAGCCATATCGAAGTGTGTACTCAAACTAGTCGCTGTAACCTTGGACAACGTCGTTTTTGTTCTACATGCAAGCGGCGTAACTGGTGATATTCGCAGTGAACGGCGAAAAGGGGAGCTCCAAAGCTGAAAGCTGTCGAAAGTGGTCTTTCTCCACATAGGACGCCTGCTGCGTGAAATTTCCGCTGTATGGCGGCATAATATGATGTTTTCGATCATTCGGCTGTTTGCTTGTGCTGGTCGCCAGCGCGTGCGTAAACACGCGCTCGCTTTATTCGCACCACCCCGGCGGCAGTCCACGTACCGAACGTTGACGCTCGCATGTGTCAACCCGCGTTTCGCTGCGATGCCTGATGATCGTGCTGTTCTGGCACGGTGAGTATTATAATGTGTCTGCTGAGAAAACACTTGTGTGTGTACAGGAATGCAAATATTCGTGCGCGGGGACACACACATGCGTGGGAGTCCAAAGCAGGAAACGAAGCTTTGAAGGGGCCACCGCAACTAGTCGATTTCTAAATGCAGCGCTAATACACAAATTCATGTGGGAGTCCAAAGCAGGAAACGAAGCTTTGAAAGGGCCACCGCAACTGGTCGATTTCTAAATACAGCGTCCAGAAAAATACGATTTTGTGGTCCCGGCTAGGATTCTGCTGTGTGGCGGCATAACGTGACGTTTTCGATCATTCGGCTGTTTGCTGGTGCCGGTCGCCAGCGCTTCGCGCGTTCAGCACAAATGTGTGCGCTTTACTCGCGCTACCCCGGCGGCAGTCCACGTAAACGTTGATTCTCTGTTGTGTGAACCCGCGTTTCGCTGCGATGCATGATGATCGTGCTGTTTTGGCAGGGTGAGAATTCATGCGCGTGCTCAGATAACACCTGTGTGTGTACAGGAACGCAAATATTCGCGTGCAGGGACACACACACCCAAACACATGCGTGGGAGTCCAGAGCAGGACTCGAAGCTTCCAAGGGGCTACCGCAGCATGTCGATTTCCAAATAAAGCGTTAATACACAATTCGATTTTGAAGTCCCGGCTAGGGAGTCTCCACGGCAGAAAATGGGGGCGACGCCATGCCAGGCAAAGAGTGCAATGCCTGCCAAACACAATCAAGTTGGAAGATCGCGCTAAGAGGCTTCCTCCTCTTGGAGACCATGCGGGGTGCCGGACTGCCCCGAACGTAAAAGTGGAACATAGGGCCTCAGGTCCAAGCGTGCCGGAACGCGCTTTCCAACTGTCCGGCTTCCACCAGAAACCCTAAACCGTAAACCCTAAATCCTAAATCCTAAACCCTAAACCCTAAACCCTAAACCGGGTTTTAGGGTTTAGGGGTGTGGACATAGCTGTATGTATCAGGGTTTAGGCTTTACGGCTCAAGGGTTATGGTAGGGTCTCGTCTTTTGGGTTTAGACAGTAGGGCTCCTTTAAAGGTTCTACCAGGGTTCTATAGGGGTTCTATAAGGGTTCTATCAGGATTTAGGTTGTCGAGTGTGGGGTGTAGGGTGCAACAGGTTTTTGAAGGTCGTCGACATGTGCAGAAAAGCTTCATGAGATTTGTTTGAAGGGGTTTTGGGAGGGCTTCATCAGGGGTTGAACCGGGTTTATTGCGGTTCAGGGGTTGGGTTGAGGCTTTAAGATGTTTAAGGTTTGGGGTTTGGGGGCTGCAGGGTTCATAGTTTGGGGGTTCGTGGATTTAGGATTTAAGGCTTTGGGGAAAAGGGTTTGATCCCACAGAGCTCCTACTCCACTCGCTAGAGGCACCACTTGAGCCCTGCAGCCTATAGCATCACGAAAGCCATATAAACGTTCTCTCGGGTTTCCTGACAACAGAAGCTTGTATAACGCATCGTAGGGCTTTCCCTCAACCCTGACTTGGAAAGACCCTTCATGAGAAACCCTTACGAGCACCCATCGAGGAATGGACTTCAACCAGGCACTGGCGTGGTGTTTAGGGTTTAGGGCTCGAAGTGCGACTGCTGGTAGGCCGGCAGTGGTGCTGATGGAAGGAATGTCGTTGAAAGTATCAAGCTTCGACATCCCTGCTCCAAACTCTGCATGGTGGTTGTTCCAAACCAATATCCCTTTCGCAGGCTCTCCTTGCAATAGACCTCTGCTCGAAGGTCATTCGGGGAATTCGTTCATCGCAGTCTTAAAAGCGCAGAACCAAAATGCCACAAGTTGCAGAGAAAACACACTAAGGCTTGGAGAAGAAACGTTGCAGAGCAATCCCAACACCGAAGATCCCTTGCACATCGTCGGTAAACCGTACACCCTAAACCCTAAACCCTAAACCCCACACCCCTAAACCCTAAACCCTAAACCCTAAACCCTAAACCCTAAACCCCTAAACCCCTAAACCCCTAAACCATAAACTCCTAAACCTCTTTATCACATGATAGTTTAAACTTTAATGACTTCGTGGGCCATGGCCAATATTCGCGGGCCATGGCCAATCTGGCATAAACCACGAATTTTTGCCAGAAGCCGCGAAGGATTTGCCATAAACCAGGGCTTATGGCAAATTTGCTTTCGCGGGCCATGGCCAATAATTCGTGGGCCACGGCCAATAATTCGTGGGCCATGGCCAATAATTCGTGGGCCATGGCCACACTTTCAACCACGAAGGATTGGCCATACACCATGGTTTATGACAAATTTGCTTGCGCGGGCCATGGCCATCAATTCGTGGACCATGGCCAACTCTTCGTGGGGCCAATAATTCGTAGGACATGGCCAGTAATGAATATTTGTGGTTTAAGGCCAGGTCGTTTGTGGTCTAAGGCGACATTGGCCTTAAACCACGAACGATTGGCCTTAAACCACGAACGATTTTGCCTTAATCCACGAACGACCTGGCCTTAAACCACGAATATTAGGGCTCCTGGGTTTAAAGTTCCTGGGTGAAGGGTGAATAAAATCCAACTATGAATGGAACTCATTTATGTGAATGAAATAACTGTATGTATATTTTCCAATGTTATGGGATTCGTGTTATGTCTAAATCGTGAATGTAACTTTACTCCAAAACTGCTCGATCCGGAGCTGTTGAACCTTCTAAACCCTAAACCCCTAAACCCTAAACTCGAAACCCTGAGCCCCTAAACCCTAAACCCCTAAACCCTAAACCCTTAAACCCTAAACCCTGAGCCCCTAATCCTTAACCCCTAAACCCTAAACCCTAAACCCTAAACCCTAAACCCCTAAACCCTAAACCCTAAACCCTAAACCCTAAACCCTAAACCCTAAACCCCGAGGCCCAAGGCCGAACCCAAGAGGGCTCAAACACAGTCGCTGCAAAGTCTTCAGGGGTTCGGCGTACGGCTTCGGGTTTAGGGTTTAGGGTTTACGGTTTAGGGTTTAGCGTTTAGGGTTTAGAGTTTAGGGTTTAGGTGCCGGAATATCATTACCCCTAAAGTTCTGCAATATAAGACAGAATCATATACAGCACAACGTTAGTCTAACGATTAAGGCCCTCCGTAACAGAGCATGAGGCCCATGATCATTCAACCGACGAACTTTTGAACTTTTGTATGCGAAGGCTCGGATTTTTTGGCGTGCTACTAACAGTTACTAACTAAGGTTCAGGGTTCCGGGTTTAGGCTATCATCCGCAGACTACGGTTCACCCTGCTTTCAAGCGAACCCAGCTTTTCAGGTGCCCTCTGTCAGTCCCCAAACCCTGAACCCTTAAGAACTTTGAGACGCGCAGAACCCTAGGACTTCTGAAAGGATTCCTTAAACCCTAAACCCTAAACCCTAAACCCTAAACCCTAATACCCTAAACCCTAATCCTAATCCTGAAAGGAGCTCAGAGCCGCCTGTTGCTGAGCAGGTGGTCGGGCGCTTCGGCGACGGTTCGCCTGTCCGGCTCTCCAGCTTCAACTACTTCCAGCACCCTGGCTCGTTTAGGGTTTAGGGTCTAGGGTTTAGGGTTTAGGGGCTTCAACTACTTCCAGCACCCTGGCTCGGGTTTAGGGGGTAAAGGTTCTTTAGGCTTCAACAGGGGTTGCAGGAGCTTACGGGATCTTCTTGACGGAGTTTATTGCAAGTTATGAGGTGTTGAATAGTTTTTTTGTTTGTAGTTTTTTTCTAGGTTTACCAAGGAGTTTGTAAGGTTGTATTAGGGTTCTGTGAGGGTCCATAAGGTTGCTGCAAGGGTTTGGGGTCTAGGGTTTAGCGTTCCTTTTGGGCTTACTGTCTGGGATCTATCAGGTTCTACAAGGGTTTCGGGTTTCGAAGTTTACAGGTAAGGAACCCTAAACCCTAAGCCGGTTCCAGAAGGAGCAGGGGTGTAGGTTTCCAAACCACAGGATTGGGGGTGCTGTTTCTTGTTTTTGTGGTTTAGGGTTTAGGGTCGCGTTTCTTGTTTTGTGGTGAGTTAAGGTTTGTAGGCTTCTTTTTTGGTTTAGCGTTTCGGGCTTCTGGCAGCGCCCTAGAGACTAAGATGCTTCTCGTACCGGGGTCGGTGTCGCTTAGGGGAAGGCTGAGCTGCGAGTCTTCATTGCCCTCCTCCTCCTCTTCCTGCAACTACTACTACTGCTTCTTCTTCTCCTACTACTACTACTACTACTACTACTACTGCTGCTAGTGCTACTGCTACTACTACTACTACTACTACTACTACTACTACTGTTATTACTACTACTACTACTACTACTACTACTACTACTGCTACTGTTACTGTTCCTGCTACCGCTGCTAGTGCTAGTACCACCGCCGCCACTACTACCAGCACCACTCCCACTAGCACTCCCATTATTGCTACAACCACCAGTGCTACTAGCACTACGACGACGGCGGCTGCCACGGGTACAAGATTTCTAAAAGCACCCTATGGCAAGAGCCGCAGGTTCGATGGCAGCGACAGCGAAATTTGGGTCGGTGGCTCAGCATCCCATACCTTTTTCGGGCCTCTCTCCGAGTTTCAGTGTTTCAGTTGAGGGTTGGAGGTTTAAGCTTCAGGATCATCGGTTTCTATCGTTTCTGCTGCTGGTTCTTGTTTTTTTGTTTGTTGTTGTCGTTGCGGTGCAGGGTAGTTGCTGATGCCATTCAAAAATCATTGTGAGTTTATCCAAGCCCTAAACCCTAAACCGATCGTGTGTGTATTTTTGGCTTTTTCGAACTCTTACACAGCACTTGGCAAAACTCTTGAAATTCTCTGTCGAAATTCTCTGTCGAACCCCAGAAATTCCTGAAAGGGCTTTGAAGGCTGAACTCCTTCCAAAAAACATGAAAAGCTAGTCTAAGCCCCTCCAAACCCCTAAGCCCTAACCGTAAAACCCTTGTAGAACCTGATAATCGAGCCAGGAAAGAGCTCGCATGGACCCCTTAAAGCCCTGATAAACTTTCAAATCTTCCTTACAGAGCCCCTAGAGAACCCACATAAACCTAAAACCCAAAGCCCTAAGCCCTAAGCCCTGAACTCTTAACCCTAAACCCTGAACCCTAAACCCTAAACCCTAAGCCCTAAACCCTTAACCCAAAACTCTAAACCCTAAGCCCTAAACCCTTAACCCAAAACTCTAAGCCCTAAACCCTTAAGTCCTTAACCCTAAAGCCCTGAGCCCTAAACCCTTATGGGCCCCTTGGAGCTTCAAGTGGTTTGGACAGGATCCCACGTTCCTGGCCCGACTTGCCTACGAGGGCTTCTTCACCATCACCACAGCGAGGCGGGTTTGGGTTTAGGGTTTAGGGCTTTGGGTCTCATATGGGGCCTTAATAATTAGAATAGGGTTTGACTAGGGTTTAGGGTTTAGGGTTTTGGGGTCCACTATTTTATAGTTATTCAATAGGGGCCTTGATTATTAGAATAGGGTTTTGGGGCGCAATTATACTATAAGAAGGAACCTGGGCCCCTACATTAGCCAAGTTTCGGGGTTGAGGAGGGTTTAGGGGTTAGTAGGGTTGAGGGTTGAGGAGTTTGGGGTTTAGGGGGTTTGGGGGTTTAGGATCTGGATGGGGTTTAGGATCTGGATGGGCTCTTCTTGGCGGAGTCTAGAGGGGTTCGAGAAGGGGGTCTATCAGGGCTCTACAGTAATCCCTAAACCCTAAACCCTAAACGCTAAACCGTCAACCCTAAACCGTGGTTTTGGATGTTTCTTTTGTTTTTTGAGGGGGCCGGGGGTTCTACGGAGTCGGGTTGGGTTTAGGGAAAGCAAAGTGGACACTCATCAACCCCGACAGTGTTTGCAGCTGCTGGTTCTAGGGCCAAGGATTAGCGGCTCGTGGTTTAGGATTTAAGGTTTTAGGGTTAGGGTATGATCGGGTTTAAGATTTAGGGGCCTAGAGCCCGACATGTTAGCAAGCTCGAAGCTGTTTTTGACACGTGCGCGGTTGGGATGTTGGTGCTATGCAGGAGAAGACAGCGTGAGCCACTGCCTGAGCTGCAGCCTTTCTACGGCGTGCTGCTTGTTGAGGGGCACTTGGCAGATTTTTCTTGCTTCTGTTGTTTTTGTCCTCCACCACCGTAAAACCTAAGCCCTAAACCCTGAACCCTGAACCCTAACCCCTAATCCCTACACCTTGGCCCGACGCCCAGGAGCCGCTTGCGTGATGAACCCTCAACCGTGGTTTAGGGTGTATATGGGTGGTTGTCAAAATTATGGTCCCTTTTTGGGTCCTTATTATAATACGGCACCTATTATTTAGGGTACCCCAAAAGGGACAATAATTTAGAGAACCACCCATATAAGGCTAAGGGCCTGAACCCTAAACCCTTAAGTTAAGGGTTTAGGGTTCAGGGCTTAGGGTTTAGGGTTCAGGGCTTAGGGTTTAGGGTTCAGGGCTTAGGTTTAGGGTTCAGGGCTTTTATCTCTCACTATCCAAACCAGAGCTAACAAGTGAAGACAATCCTTTCTTCGTCCAAGGCAAGCCCTGTACCCTAACACCACAGCTACCCACAATAATAAACCCTCATCGCCCTAATCCCTAAACACTGGAACCCTAAACCCTAAGATCCTGAAGCCCTAAACCTTCTCATATTATAATGCACCCTCGACGCTGGCGAGGCTCGATTGGCACAACTTGAACCGGTCGAAGCACGTGAACAAAGCTCTGAGACGTCTGGGGGCTGAAACACCCCGCCGGATCCTGGGATTGCAGTTTAGGGTTTAGGGTTTTGAAAAAGGGCTCCTTCAAAGGGTTCTAGCACGGTGTTATAGGGTTCTGTAGCCATTTTTTGGGTTCCGGCTTCCTATATTATCAACATGCGCCTATGAATAGCAGTGAGAGTAGCAGGAACAGATGATAAATGAATCATCACCCACAGAAGCAAGTAAGTCTGACTCTAGGTATACAGACGAACGGAAATAAACATGTGTGTAAGCAACTACATACAGAACTTACCGAACGACCGTAAAAATCTTCAAGAAGCCGTTCCCTTTGTTGGGTTTAGGGTTTAGGGTTTAGGGGTTAGGGTTTAGGCCTAGGGGTTTCGAGGCTTACGGGTTTAGGGTTAAGGGTGATCTAAACGGCAAAGAGCCTCTAGTGAAACTTCCTAGGGATCGTGTTAGTCGTCTTCGATGCAATAACTGGTTTACAACGTGCGCTTATCATCTCACCCGAAGCCCACACCCTAAAACCTTGAATCGTGAGTCCAAAAGCTAAGCATTAAACCCCTTGAGACACCTGGTACAGCACGTATAGAACCCCGACAGAACCTTCACAGAACCCGAAAGACCTGGCACAGGTACTTCCTGTACTGCGACCGAGATCTTGAAGAGACCTACAAGCAGCTGGATCGTTACCAGAAGGCCCAGAGATCGGTGCTTTCCTCCCTCCCTGAAGGGCTTGTACACATAGGTAGTTCTCTAAATTAGGGTCCCTCTTTCGGTCCCCAAAATAGGACGGCACCCTATAAAAGGGATCCTCAAAGGTACCCTAATTTAGAGAGCTAGCCGCATGGTTTTTGCAAGTTTTGCCGGGTTTTTGCCGATAAATTTCAGTTTCCGGGTTCTAGACGGGTGCCATAAGGTGTTTAGAGTTTAGGGTTTCACAAGGGCGTGGTGTTGTATTAATGTCGTATCAAAGGGTGTTTCTGAACCCCCAAAGCCTGAACGGCAAGCTCTGGACTAACCCTAAAGCCGAACCCGAAACTTTAAAACCCTTACAGTACCCTTCTAATACCCCTATTGGTAACCATATGGTAGTCGTTTAGGGCTTAGGGTTTAGGGTTGTAGTAACCCAAACGCCCTTTTCCATAAACCCTAAACCCTAAGGGGAGCCCTTTGAAGGAGCAGCACGGGGAGAACTGGATGACTTGGAAGTACGTGCAGGCTTTTCGGCGCGCCAGCCCGATTCTCGAAGGGTTCGTTTCAGGGCTCCGCTAGAGGTTACTATAAGGGTATTATAAGGGTATTATGAGGGTATTGTAACGGTATTATAAGGGTATTATCAGGGTATTATAAGGGTACTATAAGGGCATTATAAGGGTACTATAGGGAGTGAATGTTTAGGATTTCGGGGTTTAGGGTTTTGGGGTTTGTGGGTTCAGGGGTTTTGGGGTTTTTTGACGGGATGAGGAGCAGCTTAGTGTCAGTCTTGGGGCGTGCTCGCACGGTTCATGCAGGACAAAACACGGCATTGCCCGGAGTACCTTCGCCTATGGGAATTTCGGTGTATTCTTGATTCTGGACAAGGCAGGATTTTGTCCGTCAACACGCTCAACCCTCAACCCCCTAAGCCCTAAACCCTAACCCCAAACCCTAAACTACGACACCAGGATTCAGGGTTGTGCCCGATGGTCCGAGGACCTGCCAGTATATGCTGAAGACATGTTTAGGGTTTAGGGTTTAGGGTTTAGGGTTTAGGGTTTAGGGTTTAGGGTTTAGGGTTTCCTTTCAAGACCTTACAAGGCCCTACAACGCCCTATACAAGCCCTAGTCACCCCCAGAACGAGCCAGAAAACTCGAAGCAAAATCCTTGTCGTGATTTCAGCTTGATACTCGTTCCAAGCACCTGTCCTCAAACTTAGGGGTCCGATCTTAGTGCTGCCATAAGTTTAGGGTTTAAGGTTTAGCAATTTTAGGGCTTAGGGTTTGGGGTTTAGGGTTTAGGCTTTAGGGTTGGGGTTTAAGGTTTGGGGTTTAGTATTGTTAGGGTTTAGGGTTTCGGGTCTAGTAATTTTAGGATTGGAGCTAGGATGCCAGCTTGGCTAGAATGTCCTGGTCAGGAAACGTAGTCCCCAAATTCTATCCTGAGCAAACTCTTTCATGCAATTCCTGCCCCCCTTAACCGAAGCAGCTAATCTCTACTCCCCACCTTAGAACCCGAACCTCAGTGCAGCACTTCGATCTTCTCCATTAACCCAAATTCCTTTCAACACCAAATCCTTGACCATCCATGCTATACAGCAAAACCAGATGAAACCCTAAACCCCAAACCAAACACGCAAATGAGGGATCTTCTAGAAGCCCTAAAATCCAACCCTTAACGCAGAAACCGTACACCCCAAATCCCTATTGTACCCCATAGTACCCTTATAGCACCCCGAATACTAATCCTTTACAGGAGCCCCTAAAACCTAGAAATCTTGAGCCCTAAACCCTAAACCTCAAACCCTAAACCCTAAACCCTAAACCCTAAGGTGACGATCCGAAGATCAACTTCCGTCTCCACTCGATCGAGGCTTTTTCTGCAAGCCAGCTTTTTGGGGTTTAAGGATTAGGGCTTTGGGTTTAGGGTTTGAGGCTTTGGGTTTAGGGTTTAGGGCTTTGGGTTTGGGGTTTGGGGCTTTGGGTTTAGGGTTTGAGGCTTTGGGTTTAGGGTTTTGGAAATTCCTGCGAAGGTTTGGGGTTTTGAAGGTTTAGGTACGTAAACGATACTGGTCAGAACCCTGAGCCCTAGCCCCCCTATCCCCCGTAATAACAGGGGTTGGGATATCAGGGTTTCGGGCTTCTACAGCTAGTGAAACCCCGTAAAATCCTACGGTTTGGGGCGTTTAGGGTCTCAGTGCTTCGAGTTTAGGGGGTCTCATTGCACCGAAAGCCACAACACCACACCAAGGAGCTTTACGACGGTCCGCGGCCGGCGGAAGAGCCTGCGGCACGAAGCCCAGCGCAGCGGAATGAGAGTCTCAGTGTTCCATGCTTCGGATTCCGGATAAGGGTCAGGCCATTAAACCTCTAGGAAACCCTAAACCCGAATCCTAAACCCTAAACCCTAAACCCTAAACCCTAAACCCTAAACCCTAAACCCGAATCCTAAACCCTAAACCCTAGGAGACCCTAAACGATAAGGGTTTCAGGGTTTCTTTGGTCTCTGCCGATTGCGCTCTTAAGTGGATGGACCCAGAGCAGAGCCGAAAGCCGAGCCGAGGCTGCTTTAGGCGTTGTGGTTTTGGATTTTGGCGTGTGAGGTTTAGGGTTTAGGGTGCGGCGTTGATTTTGGGTTTTAGGGTGTAGGGTTGAGCCTGTAAGCCCATAGTTAGTAGCATCCCGGAGAACCTGACAAGACCCTGATATCCCGATGCTTAGGGGTTTAGGGGTTTTAGGGTTTAGGTTAGAATTCCCTATGCTTAGGGGCTTAGGGTTTAATTAGGGACATTCAGAATTGCCGATGAACCTCCAAGCCCTCTAGCCCTTTGGCAAAGCCTGCGGACAAGTCTGCTGAAACCTTACCTTGTTACGATCCCTGAATTCCCAACCTCGAAGGCCTACACCCGGAAACCCTGAACCCTACAAGCCTAACCCTCGCATCCCCTTCCTCCAACAAATCGCCTCAAGGCTGATGCGCCCAAGTTGATCGCGGGTGAGATTGGGCCGCTTGGGTTCTATGAGGCTTCGTGGTATTAGAGGGTTTTGTAGAGGGCTATACTATGCTAAGTTACAAAAGGGTGGGATAATAAGCCCATGTTTACAAACACATCCCTGGTAGCTTAAGTCAGGGCTCAGGGTTCAGTTTCCCAAATCCTAGGCCGTAGTATAGAAGCCTGAATAACTACCAATATGATCCAATATTATTCTTTAGGATTCCTTATCATACTATTCTACAGTATGCCCCCGAAACCCTAGTCTAAGTTCTAAGTATGAAGGCCCCTGTATCAGTTGGTCTTACCATGTCTAGCCGTTTCGGGAAGCCGAGGTACTCCATCGGCAAGGTCTACACGAGCTTGTCTGGATTCAGTCTTCGCAGTGCGGATGGCCTCGGATGGACGCCTCGCTTCGGTTCGGGCACCTGAGTTCCTTTGTTGGTAAACCCTAAAGCCCGAAAGCCTGATTGATAATTCAGAAGGAGTTCATCGCCATACTGCGGCCCTGCAGTGATCGATAGCACAAAGTTGATCTGCGTCGTACAGCTGTAGTTAGGGGTCAGGGCTTAGGGGGTTTGGCTTGCAAGTACTACCGGTCCTTGAATGCACAGGTGGCTTAACAGCTCAAGGGACATAGCCACTTCCAGCAAGTGTAGTATAGTTACATCAGTTACATCCTCTTATATTCCTAATTAAGGTACTATAAGAGCCTAAATTGGGTTCTTACTGGTATACTTTCATATGCCCCAAAACCATATTCCAATTGCTAAGGCCCCTACATTGCTTACTTGTGACTACCTAGAACCCTTAGAAGCCTTAAGCCCTAAACATCCTAAGCCCTCAACCCCACAAGCCTTAAGCCCCAAACCCTGAACATCCTAATCTAGGACATTTTCAGGTGGGTAGTTACCCTTATAGGAGCCTTATAGAAGGCCTATGTACCTTATAGAAGCCTTATGGAAGCCTTGTATACCCTAAACTCCCCACCTTAAAATGTCCTAGACCTAAGCATCCCCAACACTGAACCCGACAAGCCTTTAGCCCTAAGCCCTAAACCCCAACAGCCCTAAGCCCAAAACCCTCAAAGCCCTAAACCCCAAACGGAACTACACCTGGGTAGTTTTCTGAATTGGGGGTACCTTTTGGGATCCTTTGTAAAAGGTGCCGTACTATATTGGGGACGAAAACAGGGACCCTGATGTAGATGACCACCCACATGTTAAAGGAACCAAAGCCCCTAAACGCCTAAAGCTGCCCTAAACCCTAAACCCTAAATCCTAAACCCTAAACCCTAAACCCTGAACCCTAAACCCTAATTCCTAAACCCCTGAACGCCTAAAGCTGCATGAGGATGCAGCTCGCCTGCCTGGGCAAGTGGCTGGAGGAGAAGCGCTACGCTTTCTGGACCCGGGCTCAGCTTTCGGCTTTTGGGATTTAAGGGCTTAGAACTTTAGGGATTTAGGGTTTTTTGGGATTTAGGGGTTCAGGGCTTAGGGGTTTAGGGGTTTAGGGTTGAGGGTTTAGGGATTGTGGGTTTAGGGATTGAGGGTTTAGGGGCTTAGAAGGCATGGTGATCTTGATAGCATGGACCCTGAAAGCATTCGCATTACGAAGCATCGGTTTCGGAAAGCACACGGCACTACTTCCGACTATCACTGCTGCTGCCTCTGCTGCTGCCACCACCACCACCGCCACCACCACCCCTTCAGTGCAAAACGACCCTAACATAGACGATAGATAGTACGATCCGAAGTCTCAAGCCTTGTGTGAAGTGCACAAACCCCAAACCCGGCTCCAAACCCCAAACCTGGTACTAAACCACGGTTTAGGGTTTAGGGTTTAGGGTTTAGGAAACAGCAAACCCGAATTAAACCCTATAAGCCCTCAACACTTGCAACCTTTCACTCTGGCGTTCGGGACTCGTGCTCGGCCTCTTGGCTTCAGGGCCGGCCTAGGGCCTAGGGACTCCAGCAGCGCAATGCAAACTCTTCGCTTTGGGGCCTCGGGTTTAGGGTTTAGGGTTTAGGGTTTAGGGTTTAGGGTTAAGGACTTAAGGGTTTAGGGCTTAGGGCTTTAGGGTTGAGGGTTTAGGGTCAGGGCTTTGGGGCTGGGTTCCCTGAGGCTTTTATAAAGGCCCCTTCAGGGTTCTATATGCTGTCTAAACGGGTTCCTTAAGGCCAACAGACTGAGCGCAACGCAAATTCTGTGAAGGGTTCTGTGAGGATTCCCGGATTCATCGGGGCGTTTATCAGGCTGTATGTTTTTTTTTTTTTTTTTTT